GGAGAGCGCCGGGGAGCCAGGAGAGGGGGAGGAAGCGGGGGCTGTCCCCGCACCTGTGAGCCCAAGGCAGAGGGCCCGCGGGGTCGGAGAGCGCAGGGCACGCTGGCCTCATGGCAGCCCGGGGGCAGGGCGAACCCGCAGTCAAGCGGGGGAGCGAGGCTGCGGACGTGCCCTACAGGGCAGGGTCTAGGACTGCAGCGCGGCCCGAAGCGGTGCGCTGTGCGCACCAGTTGAAAGGAGCACCGGGGAGCCGGGAGAAGCGGGGGCCGTATTAAATCCGACCGCAGGCCGCAATTGGCCCGCGGGCCGGACTTTGGACATGCCTGGATTAAACAGTTAGCTGGGGAGTCGCTAACATCCCCACTGAAAGAGTTATTGGTTATACGCTAGGGATGTTTAATTAACTAATCAAATAGTTGATGAGATTTCTGTCGACTATTCGATTAGTCGATCAGGACTAGTGCATGTTCCGCCTTTGAAGTGTACAAGATACCCTGGGCTCCACCTGGCGTTTCATTCTTTGAAATGCATAAGATCCCCTGCTGTGCACTTAACCCAGCTCCCCCTAGCACCCACTCCTCTTCTCCTCCTTCCCCTCCCACGCCATTACTGCCTCTTTGTGGTAGAGGCAGCAGGAAGGCGGGAAGCAACTAGCTGACTAATGTTGACTGTCCAATAAGCTTTTGCTTATCGGATAGTTGACTAGTCGGTTAGTTGCTTACATTACTATTACACACTGTCGTGAAAAATAAAGCTTATACTGCAGAGCCCACAGCGCAGCTGCCTCTCCGGGAGTGGGGCCAGGAGCTGGTTCCCAGCACACACTGACTGCTGGCCCCACTCCGAGGGAATCAGCTGCACTGCAGGCTTTATAGTATAAACTTTATATTTCAGACCCTGCCGCACGTAACTTCTGATTTTCAGCAGTTACATGATTACTTAATAGTGATAGAAATGTAGCCGTGTTAGTCTGGGGTAGCTGAAGCAAAATGCAGGACAATGTAGCACTTTAAAGACTAACAAGATGGTTTATTAGATGATGAGCTTTCGTGGGCCAGACCCACTTCCTCAGACACTGCTTTTGAACATCCCTAGTGCGAATAATGTAGGTATACCGACCTAAGTGCTGGTGTAGACAGTACTATATTGGTAAGAGAGACCTTCGTTTACCAGCTACCACCTCTTGAGGAAGTGGAGTTATTAAGCTGATGAGTGTGTTTGCTCTTGTTGGCTTATCGTGGGGCTGGGCAAGATGTGGCCTGCTTAAACATTTTGATCCAGCCTGTGGGCTGCATCTGGCCACTTTCAATTTATATCCTGCTGTCTCTGCCGCCAAATTTCCAGGCAATGGCTCAGGCAGCAGGATCCTAATTAAATGGCTCAAGGTCACAGTGCTATCCCGGCAGGGGCCAGAGCTGAGAACCCTCCAAGTGGCTTCCAGGCAATACAGTATCTGTGTGGCCAAGATCCCCGAGCCCTTTGCTGTGTTTTTATTTCAAAGCCTTCAGCCTCAGACAACTCTGGAGGGAGGCTAGTCCCAGGCTCTGATCCTTCTGGGGGTGATGTCGGCTTGGGACCATGTACCAAAATTCATTAAGTGCGCCCCCCCCCCAAATTATTGCCCACCTTTAGCTTAGCACATCTGGATCAGAAGTGTTACTGCAGAGTAGTTGCATTGGTGCAGCTGTACCACTGCAAGTTTGTAGTGTAGACATGTCCTTGTGTAGAAGTGAAGCAGTGTATGATGAAAAAGATTCTTAGAATTTGTTAAGCAGTTAGATTTGAGAGAGGTCTGGAAACAGGCAGAAATACTTGAAGTTTCTGCAAGAGTTGCTTGTGTGCCATTTAAAACCCCTGTGTTAGGAAAACAGGTTTGGTGGCATGTGTTTTGTAAGCAAGTTTTCTGAAGAGAACACCTGCTTTCTGCTCCAAACAGGAAACTGACCTACAAAGTGCTGATTTCTGCTGTTTGGCAAAAATATCAGTAGCATTATATTTATCAGGATAATGGACACAGTGACTGAGTCAGGTTTACTTAAGCCTTGTCTGCATTAGAAAGGATTTCCTGGTATAGTAGTTCTGGTCATCTGTAGGGATGGCAACTAAGAACTTGACTATCCAAACCATGAGTCAGCACTGCTTGAATTAAAAGAGCTTATTTAGAGGTAAATTAGCCTTGATTAAACAGCCCTACTTATTAGAGACAGACATGATTGCACATATTAAGGACCGGTCTGTACTGCAGTGTTTTGTTGGGAGAGGTGTTCCTCAGGAGTGTGGGGAAAAAAACATAGCCATGTCAACATAGCCACCACTAGCAAAAACTCCAGGGTAGATGCATCTATGCTGACAGGAGTGCTTCTGTCAGTGTAGATAATATGTGGAAAGGTGATGATAACCTGAAGATGGAAAAAACTCATCTGTCACCATATACAATGTTTGTACTAGGGGGCTCTCCTGGTGTAGCTGTACTGGCAAAGCATTTGTAGTACAGGTTGGCCCTCGCTGGTCCGGCACCTTTGGGACCTGAATATTCCCGGATGAGGGAATTTGCCAGACCAGGGAAGATCCCTTGCCACCGGCCCCCTCAGCCTCTTGCTCCCTTTGCCACCTGTTCCTTCAGCCCCACTTCCAGCCCGGCAAAATGCTGCCCTGGCACCATTGCCAGAGCTGCAGCTCTAGTGCCAGCATGGAAACATGCAGCACTGGCCCTAACTGAGTTGCCCTGTTCAAGCTGGGTTGCCACAGCAGCACCAGCCCCACTGCCAGCTGGCACACTTCCCCAATTGAACTGCCAGCCTGCAGTGGGCCCAGCTAAGTTGCTGTGGCCCCTAACGGATTTTCCCTGCTAGGCTGCCACAGCCTGGCCTTACTGCTAGCCAGGCTGCTGCAGCTCTGCCCTTGCTGCCGGGCCACGCAGCCCTGGCCCCAGCTGGGTTGCCACTGCCATGGCCCCACTACTGCTGCAAGGCTGCTGAGGCCCTTGCCCCATGGATGGACCACAGATTTTGCTGATGAGTGTCCTAGTTTTGGGAGGTGTAACCTGTATAGACAAAGCCTAAGTCAGTGTATTGCTCCCTTGGGTGGTTTACCCCATAAGAATAAGCTTTTTTTTACTACTTAAAACTAAAGATTTACTCTATGCTGAAGTGGTTGATGTTTGTGCTGGAGAGCTGAGTTTCCGTTCCTCTGATGACCTCTAGTGTCAGTGGGCAGAGAGTTGTAGTTTGCAAGTAAGATTATATCAAAAAGAGAAATCAACTTCATAGGATCACCTTAAGGACTCTAGACAAAACACAGTATAGCAACCAGGGCTATATCTTCCTAATCTTGTCACTTTCTTGAAGAATATTAAAGATAAAAAAACTGAAGAATACTTCCACCATTTAAGTGTGGTGATTTTTTGCTCACTTGTATGAAATAATTGCAGGAAATGTCACTGTTTTCCTCCACAATATAGAGTGAAAGACAATATCTGTTAAATAATCTGAGTTAACACTAACCTTTTTTTGTTTTGTTTCAGCTTTGTCCAAAGTTCTTGCATACAAATTCTACCAGTCACACTTGGCCTTTCAGTGCAGTTGCAGAACTTATAGGTATCAGTGTTTCATTTATTGAATACTTAACCTCTTTGTTTGTTTACATAGTGTGGTGGCTTTGACATAAGTTAAATTCAACTAAATAATTATTGTAATTGAAAGTAGAGGAGTGATAAGGTTTTAAATTTGATTGCTCTGTTTTCCATAGAATCAAAAGTTTCAAGTTAATCATATTTAAAACTTCCTTATGTGTTAATACTGTGTATTGCAATTTTAAAAATGGTTTTTGCCATGTATGCTATTTGGCTTATTTTGTTTGAAAGTAGATCTGTAAGGTTCATTTTTAATAGCACAGTGGTATAACTGAAGTTTTGAACATGGCTAAGGAATTACTCAAATTTAAGACTTTTTTCCTAATTTAAAATCATAACAATGTTGTAGGTTTCTGTTCAACTTCAAGTAACAAGTTATTTATTTCAGTAACTAAATGTTGGGCTTGTCTATTTGATAGCTGGTATTTCCCAATAAGCCAGACTGTACTTTGTTTTTATCTTTGTTGAAAGTTTCTAATTCTGTGAAAGCTAGAAATTTGTGTTGTATGTACCTTAAAAATGGTAATTCTTTCCTGAGAATTTCTCATATGTGGCTGCCCAAAAAGAAAATTTTATAGTCTTCTTTGTTAGTTCAGGAAAAGGAACTACATGCTGTCATTCAGTTTAGTTATGAGAAGGGATGTTTAAAAATGGTGGTTGCTGTAACTGTGTAGCCACTAAAATTTTTAGCAGTCACATGGCTACATGCTGTCTCCCTAGGAGTGGGGCTGGCAGCCAGCGCACTCCTGGCTGCTGGCCCTAATGGTGTGGACTGGCTTTTAAGCCAGTTCCCCACATGTACTGGCCAATGCCTGCTGCCTTGCGCTGCTGCCTGTACCAGAGGCAGCAGCGCAGTGTGGCATTTGGCTCCCCAAGAGATGGTGCTTAAATGGTGACACACTGAACATCCCTAGTTAGGAGCATGGCTGGTTGAGAGGGACTAAAGAATGGAGTAGGTGACTGAGAGAGCTTAGCTTGCTCATTCCTATTGCCATTCAGTGGTACAGGTTGGACCTCCTGGTCCAGTACCCTCAGGACTTGCCGTTCCAGAAGTAAGATTATATCAAAAAGAGAAATCAACTTCATAGGATCACCTTAAGGACTCTAGACAAAACACAGTATAGCAACCAGGGCTATATCTTCCTAATCTTGTCACTTTCTTGAAGAATATTAAAGATAAAAAAACTGAAGAATACTTCCACCATTTAAGTGTGGTGATTTTTTGCTCACTTGTATGAAATAATTGCAGGAAATGTCACTGTTTTCCTCCACAATATAGAGTGAAAGACAATATCTGTTAAATAATCTGAGTTAACACTAACCTTTTTTTGTTTTGTTTCAGCTTTGTCCAAAGTTCTTGCATACAAATTCTACCAGTCACACTTGGCCTTTCAGTGCAGTTGCAGAACTTATAGGTATCAGTGTTTCATTTATTGAATACTTAACCTCTTTGTTTGTTTACATAGTGTGGTGGCTTTGACATAAGTTAAATTCAACTAAATAATTATTGTAATTGAAAGTAGAGGAGTGATAAGGTTTTAAATTTGATTGCTCTGTTTTCCATAGAATCAAAAGTTTCAAGTTAATCATATTTAAAACTTCCTTATGTGTTAATACTGTGTATTGCAATTTTAAAAATGGTTTTTGCCATGTATGCTATTTGGCTTATTTTGTTTGAAAGTAGATCTGTAAGGTTCATTTTTAATAGCACAGTGGTATAACTGAAGTTTTGAACATGGCTAAGGAATTACTCAAATTTAAGACTTTTTTCCTAATTTAAAATCATAACAATGTTGTAGGTTTCTGTTCAACTTCAAGTAACAAGTTATTTATTTCAGTAACTAAATGTTGGGCTTGTCTATTTGATAGCTGGTATTTCCCAATAAGCCAGACTGTACTTTGTTTTTATCTTTGTTGAAAGTTTCTAATTCTGTGAAAGCTAGAAATTTGTGTTGTATGTACCTTAAAAATGGTAATTCTTTCCTGAGAATTTCTCATATGTGGCTGCCCAAAAAGAAAATTTTATAGTCTTCTTTGTTAGTTCAGGAAAAGGAACTACATGCTGTCATTCAGTTTAGTTATGAGAAGGGATGTTTAAAAATGGTGGTTGCTGTAACTGTGTAGCCACTAAAATTTTTAGCAGTCACATGGCTACATGCTGTCTCCCTAGGAGTGGGGCTGGCAGCCAGCGCACTCCTGGCTGCTGGCCCTAATGGTGTGGACTGGCTTTTAAGCCAGTTCCCCACATGTACTGGCCAATGCCTGCTGCCTTGCGCTGCTGCCTGTACCAGAGGCAGCAGCGCAGTGTGGCATTTGGCTCCCCAAGAGATGGTGCTTAAATGGTGACACACTGAACATCCCTAGTTAGGAGCATGGCTGGTTGAGAGGGACTAAAGAATGGAGTAGGTGACTGAGAGAGCTTAGCTTGCTCATTCCTATTGCCATTCAGTGGTACAGGTTGGACCTCCTGGTCCAGTACCCTCAGGACTTGCCGTTCCAGACCAGGGATTTTGCTGGACCAGAGGAGGTTAATGCTCCCCTGATGGCTGCCCCACTGCCGCCTCCTCTCCCTAGGGCTCTCAAGGCTGTGGCTCTCCACCCTACTGTCTCTGCTGCTGCTAGGGGTTCCCAGGAGTTCTCCAGCCAGAGCCACCCTGCTTCTCCCAGCCCTGCTACCTCCAGGGATTCCTCCTGGTTTCCTGGCCCCACTTCTGGATGAGCCCAGCTGCCACAGGGATTTCCCGGAGCTCCCCGGCTGGGGTGGAAGGGGTTCCTCTGCTGCCACCTGGTCCATTGCCAGAGTTCCAGGCCGCTGCGTGGCCCTGCTGCCCCCCGGGGTTTCCCAGTCAGGGCTGCCCAGCCATCACAGTTCTGCTGCTGCCAGGAGAAGGGGGAGGTGGTTCCCAGGATTCCCCGACCGGCTGCGTCCCAATTCTAGGAGCTCTCTGGCCACCTGACACCACTAATGTGGGCTGGGTGGGGGGTTTCCTGGCAGGGGCGGAGGCTCCCTGATGCTGCTGGCCCCTGCTGACACTGGGGGTTCCCTGCCTAGCCACTGCTGGCTCAGCCAGGATCCCACGTTCTCCTGGCAGTCTCCTGCTCCTGGGGCTCTTTGGTCCAGCAACATCTGTGGCCTTGCTAGATCAAGGATGTTGCTGGACCAGAGTGTCCCAGATTTGGGAGGTTCAACCTGTAGTTTGACAATCTTAATTTTTAATATCTGGTCTTGTGTGAAGATCAGTCATTGCAGTTTGGATTTTTAAAAATAGGCATCAAATTAGTAATGTTTGTACAAGGTACTGAAAATAATTTTTCCTTTTGCTTTTATGATGAAATCAAATGTAAAATTTCACATCTTGAACTATAAATAGGGACAATAATGTAGAGGGAATTGTTTTGGAGCTGTGTATTGGAATTAATATAGGTTACTACCATGACACCAATTAAATCATAAATTTTTTTATTACGTTTGGTGGCCAAATAATATTTCTGCAATTGCTCTGGAGGTGTCTATTCCATGTTTAGACTTTTTAACTTAATCCAAACACTTAAGAGCATTTTATATGAGTTTACAGGGGATTTTGACTCATTGTTTGGCTCCAACTTGTCAGGGGAATAGGCACGAATAATTAATTGAGTTAATTATTTGTTAGTTATTTAGTTAGTTGTTAGTCACGAATAATTAATTTACTTTTTTATACCCTTTAACGAATTAGTGATGGCACTGCCAAGTATTGGACCTTAGCTAAGGCTGAAGCAGTTTTTTATAATACATTAAACAAACTTATGTAGCCAGTTATTTACTACACCTAGTACCCAAGGAGCAAGGCTTTAAGGTTTGTGCTGAAATAGAAATCATATAAACATTTCCAGATGTTTATTTGGTTTTTTGTATGTCCCAAAAGATCTCCGAAATGGTCAGAGCTAGAAACACAAAACTTTACATGGATACTACTGATTTCCTAATTAAATAACTGAATTGGTTATATCTCAAAATCAGTTCCCCCAGAGCTCCAATTGGGCCCACTGATAATTTGCTTTTACTAGCACCTGATCATAGGCATTTGCTGGGCTCTTCTGTTAAGCGTGTCACATAAACTGCAACTACGAGATCCTTTCCCTCTGCCTACGAACTAAGTTATGTTAATTACTTTTATCTGATATATTACTTAGCATATTTTATTGGAAATTCTTTAAGTTAATGTAATTGATGTAGTTCATTCATCACCCCTTTTACTATATTTCACCGGGTATTTCTGCTAGTATATAATATGACACTAGGATATTGAAGGGTCACTGCGAGTTAACACAACTCTTCTTTCTCTTTCTTTTTCTGACCAGATGCATTGGGCTATTGCACATGTTTAAAACCATAGTTCATCCAAGTCTAATGGCTGATATTTCTGCAAGGGATTGGGGTGGTGTCGATCTTTTATTTTAAAATTTAGTCAATTTGTTGGGGAAGGGCTATTAATCAACTTTTACATATTTCTCATTAGGGATATGAAGGACTAGTCACTTCCCCCGCCTGCTCCCCCTTGCTGCCTCTACCAGATAGAGGCAGCAAGGAGGGGCGGGGGGAAGGGAGGAGTACTTCAAAGCGGCAGCACCGCAGCAAGCCTGGGTTCTAGGTGTCATTTCAAAGCAGCAGCGCCACCCTATCAACTAATCGAATATTCAATGCAAAAATACATCGACTATTTGATTAGTGAAATACATGCTGCTTAACATGCTTTTTCCACACATGAGCTGATAAAGTCATCAGAGATGCAAATAAAACTAAAATGAATTTCTAGCTTTGCAGTTGACATAATTGATTACATATTCAATATATGGTTTTTGCTTCTGGGGTCTATGCTATTTTGTAAAGTAGCGAAATCTCATTTAGTGCTTTGCAAAACTGTATGTGCACTAATCACAAGGAAAATATTTTTTTCACCTCAAAGTGTAGCAGAAATTGAGGTATGGTATTACTACAATTTAATTTTGGAAAGTACAGGGAAAGCTTTATCTGGCACTTTAACCAGAAAATGTTATTAACCAGCATTACTGCACTGCTGGCTGACATCAGCAGCAGAGGCTTCCTTCCTCATCAGTCTGCGTTGAGCTGCTTCTTTTCTTGAGTATTGATACTGGTAACTGGCATTCCCCATGAGCTGAGGAGAACACCACTTTCACTGTACTACTGTATGTTTACACTGTGAAGAAACGTGCATAATTAAAACTGACTAAATCGATAAAGAACATCTTTGTTGTGCACCTTTGCTTTACATGCTTTTTCACTCAAATTCAGAATGGATCTTCATGCAAATTACTAAAATTCTACACAGTTTACATTTAATTCAGGGGGTAGGCACACTTCAGTAGCTGCTAATCAGCACTGCCTGAAGTAGTTCAAGTGGTTCCTAAATTGCAGATTCTCACTAGCCTTTGGAAAGGCCTTTTATTTGAAGGATACTTGTCAATCAGCACTGAGAAGTATCAGGGTTAGCTGTGTTCATCTGAATCTGCAAGTACAAGGGGAAGTCCTGTGGCACCTTCTGACTAACAGATATATTGGAGCATAAGCTTTCATGGGCAAAGATCCACTTCATAAGATGCATGACATCTGATGAAGTGAGTCTTTGCCCATGAAAGCTTATGCTCCAATATATCTGTTAGTCTACAAGGTGCCACAGCACTGATAGTTACTTTAACCCTACATCTTTGAGCGATTAGTGAAAGAAAGTCATCCGCAAACAGCCCAGATAATATGGTCACTATCCATATAAGAGATTATAAAAATTGGTGTGGGGACTAGACTTCAAGTTTGATTTGACAATAGACCATAACTATAAGCCATTTTGTAGATCTTGTACAATATTTAACTTTTAACATTAAACTTTAATTTATTAAAAAGGAAGCTGTGGAGGGGAAAGTGTATGGAATAAAATGTTTTAGGGGACATGCTGACTCCAATTTGCTGGCAAATAATATTTTCATAGAGGGTTTTGGGATATTGAATCTTTCACCAAAATTATGTATTTTTGAATATTTGAATTTGTGCTTATGTTAAATTCACACTTGGCTGATTTTTTTTTTTAAGACAATGCCTATGATCCAGATGTAAATGCTAAACAGATATGGATAGACAAAACAGTAATAAATGGCAATATATGTTTGACCTTTACTGATAATGGGAATGGTATGACTTCAGAGAAATTGCACAAAATGCTAAGGTGGGTAACTTTTATGGTCTCCCTATGTTGTTCCAATTTCCATTTTCAGATTTTAATTCTGTTCTTCCCTATATATCAAAACGGCAAGTGATTTTAATGCTTATGAAAATAAGAGTAAGATACAGGCTGGACCTCTCTGATACAGCATTCTTGGGACCTGACCAGTCCCGAACTAGGGAATTTTCCAGACCAGAGGAGGTCCCCTCTTACTGGCTCCCCAGACCACCTTTCCTCCCTACTGCCAGCCCCTGCCACCTGCACTATCTGGGCTGCTGCGATCCCTTTTGGACTACGGGAGCTCTTGCACCTGTCCCAGCACCAGCCCTGCCAGCTCCCAAGCCACTAGCCCTCTTACCACTGGGACTCCCAGCCAATACTTCCTGGTCCAGCCTCAGATGATGATGGTTGAGGGAATCCTGGCTTTGGAAAGTCCAACCTGTGATAGCTAGATCCAAAGGATAGGCAGATTCTAATCAAGTGTTCATCAAGATCTGTGGTGTGTTTTGTTCCTGAATCACCCATCTCCATTTATCTGTTCCTGAGCCTATTTTGAGTTAGCAGTTATATAGGAATGTGGTTTTGTAATGCTCGTAAGTGAAATAAGAGAGGAGAAGAAGAGGAAATACCTGCTTAAGTTCAGGTTTGTCTGAATTATACCAAGGTAGCCGAAGTTGAAAGGTGGTAACTCGATACTGTTAATTACAAATGTTGTTCAGTTGCTCCTTTGACTTGGTGGGTTGCAAGTTGTGTTCCTTTCAATTTTTCCCATCCCCTGAGCGAAATGAATTTTGTTATGCACACCAAAGCATAACCTATACACGACACATTGACTTCATATTGGTGCACACAACAAAATTCATATGGTGGAAGTGGTGCAAGGAATCTGAGTGTAGGAGGGGGCTCAGGCCTCGGGAGGAGAGTTGTGGGGCAGGGGTGTTAGGGCTTTGGCTGGAAGTATGGGCTCTAGGCTGTGGCTGAGGGATTCAGGGCTGGGACACGGTTATGATACAAACCCTGTGAGCATGAGGGGTTTGAGGTGCAGAAGGGGGCTCCAGGCTGGAGGTGGGGCTGAGGAGGTTCAGATTATAGGAGAAGGCTGCAGTTTGAGGTAGGGGATTGGGATACAGGAAGGGGTGAGAGCTCTGGGGTGGAGCCTGGGATGAGGGGCTTAGGATGGCAAAGTGGTTCTAGGCTTGTGGAGGGACTATGGGTTAGGAGGCTCTGAACTGGGAGTGTGTGCTTCAGGGTAGGGCAAGGGATGAGGATTTTGGGGTGCAGGAGGTGACTGGGTTGGGAGGGAAGGCAGTGGCACTAAGGCAGTCTTTCTGGTGCCTGCCTGTCCTGGAGCACTGTGCTCTGCCCCAAAGCGGCCAGCAGGTCTGGTTCTTGGGGCAGTGTAGAGAGCCCCATGATGTCTCCTCTTTCCCCCACTACTTCCCTCTGCCTAGGAATTGGACCTACTGTACTGGCTGTTTCACTGCTGGTAGTGTTGCCTCCCCGCTACCCCTGGTAGTTTTGTACTGGGGCTGTAGGTGAGGGGTGGTTTTGGTGGCTGCAGCAGGTTTGAGGAGAGACATCTCCCTCACTATTAGTAAGAACTTAGGTTGTAAATGAAGTGCAATAGACTTCAGATCTTGAACACAGTTCAAAATTGAAAGTGATTGTCACAAAGCTAAGGGGATGATGAATAACTGTAATGAAGAGTTCTAATTTTTTTTTACATTTTTCACTAAGTAATTTCTTGTGAGTTAAGGGTTTACATGCTAAATTTATTGCACAACTGCAGATCATCGCTTTTAATGAAATGCCTCTGCCTCATTTCCTAGTGCAAAGTTGATTTTTTTTTGTTACACATTGGAAAAGCAATTAAGTGAAGTGGAAAAGGTCAAGGTCAGTCTTTTAAAATATTTAACTATTAGACTGTTTTTTGCATAATACCCTAGAGATGATATTCCTTAGATCTATTTAAAGAGGGCAATAGATGACACGAGCGAGCGGTTAAGCATCAATATGACAGCCTTTTTCTAGTTATTGAGCAAATATACTTTTTAGCTGTGCTGTAGTCAGTGATCTAAAAAGTAGAGGAATTCAGTCTGTTTAAACTTGTTTTGATGATCTTTTGTGGATTAACACTTTTTGTAAAATGTTCTTTACAATGTGTTTCAGCTTTGGCTTCAGTGACAAAGTTACAATAAATGGTCGTGTTCCAGTGGGACTGTATGGAAATGGATTTAAATCAGGGTCTATGCGCTTGGGAAAAGATGCAATTGTTTTCACCAAAAATGGAGACACCATGAATGTTGGCCTGTTATCTCAGACCTTCCTTGAAGCTACAAAGGCAGAACATGTCATTGTTCCTATAGTATCATTTAACAGGCAACATATCCTTTTGGCTGTTTTCAAGTACAAAAAAATGTTGCATTTGTATGTGTAAAAATAGGGTATTAGAGGCCTCTGAGGAATTCTTCTTGCCCTCTTGAGTTAGAAATTGCAGTTGTGTTAATGTCCTGTTTGTGTATAAAAAAGGAGGAGGATTATAGGGTTGTATAAAAGCACTAAACTAGCAACAAAACACTTGTCTGAGGGGAGAGAAATGTGTATATATTTATGAAATGTTAAAGTCTTTAACTTGGTTCTTACGTCAAATAATCAATCCGGTAGAATGCAAAGCCAGTCTAAAGGCCATCCAGACACATTCTTTGTTCTCTACTGAGGAAAAGTTACTGGCCGAGCTTGATGCTATCATGGGGAAAAAAGGAACAAGAATCATTATTTGGAACCTTAGACGGTAAGATAAAGTCCAATGGCTGGTAACTTGTGAATTTTAAAATAAGTGGTCAGTATGTGTGAACTTGACAGTAAATAACTAGACTTTAGAAGTGTTGGTAGAACAGCTAATGAGCATAAGTTGGCTGTAACTTAGTGGGAACATGTGGGATCAGAGTGATAACTTACAGAGCTATGTAACATCAGAGTGTAGGCCCAGCTTTAGACCCTTTGCTTCTGGCTATTTTACTTGCTCTTTCATAATAGTTTGTGGTGGATGAATGACTTTGTAACTGTCAAGTTTGTCAGCATAAACCCCTTGTTGACAGTCAATAGAGGCAAAAGTCTTTTGTTGGTGTAGCTTATGTCCTTTGGGGAGGTCGTTTAACTGTGCCAGGAAAAAAATCCTTTTGCTGGAATAAGTTGGATCTCCACTAGAGATTAGTTGTTGCTATACCAGCAGAGCTTTTGCAGTTGTAAACTAGCTTTAAAATGTGACAGCTTGCAAAATCCATCTGGTTTTATATTTTAATGGCTGAGACACACCATGCAATTCCTTAACTAAGCTTCCTTTTAGCCTACTATTTAAAATGCCTGAAACTTTTTAAGTTTAATTCTAGTTTTGATGCTTACAGTATCTAATCCAGAATTTTTCCGCACATTTACCATAGCTGAATAAAAGGCTGAATTAGTCACATTCTCAGCATCAGTAGAAAATGAACAAGTTTGTTAGGTCAGATTCTCCATCCTTCTGCCTCTGCAGCATTAAACCCACCGAATCATTGAAATGTAGTGTTCAAAGGAACCTCAGTATGTTATCTTAACTAGTCTAGTCCCCTGCACTCAAGGCGGGACTAAGTAATAGACTGTGTGTGTGTGTGTGTGTGTGTGTGTGTGTGTGTGTGTGTGTGTGTGTACACGCGCGCGCACAGAGGAAGCTTTTCTTAATGTCCAATTTAAACTACCCTTGCTTTAATTTAAGCCCACCGCTGTTTTGCCTATCCTCCGACTGTAAGTGGAATACTATGCATTTGTCCTCATTGAATTTTCTTCTGGTTTTTCAGATCATTTCTCCAATTTATCCAGAACATTTTGAATTTTAGTCCTATCCTCCACAGCAATCTCAAACCTCCCAGCTTAATATCCTCTAAAAACTTTGTTTTCTCTATGCCGTATCTAAAGAATGTATGGAGATATTGAACTTAATTGGACCCAGGATTTATTCGTGTGGGACCTCACTTAAAATGCTCATCGAGCTTCTCTGTGATCTGAGTCTGTAATTTCCTGGGTTGCTTACTTCCCTTTTTATAGTTAGGCGCACTGTATTTGCCTTCTTCCAATGGTTCAGAATCTCTCCCATCCTCTGTGAATTTTCAAAGATAATAGCTAATGTCTCCTATGTCTTCGGCTCTGAGTATTCTAGGATATATTTTTGTAGTAGTATTGCTATGATTCATTTAGAACAAATGAATATCTTTACTGTGTTAACTGGTAAAAATTAGAGAACTTCTATTAAAAAAGAACATCTCTTTGGGGAAATGATACTTAGAATCTGTAGCTAAAATAAGCTTGCCTGCTTAAAATATTTTTTTCCACACCATCTTGATGCCCTGCTTTCTTCAGCAGCAATATTGGGTTATTTTTAATTGAGGTATTTTTTTAAAATTTGTATTTTGGACTTCTTTCCACAGAGATAAAGATGGAGAAACAGAGCTCGATTTTGATAAAGATAAATATGACATTAGAATTCCAGAAGATTTAGATGAAGCAACAGGGAAAAGAGGGTATAAAAAACAAGAGAGAATGGACCAGATTGTGCCTGAAAGTGACTATTCACTACGGGTAGGTATGCAGTTTACTTAAAAATCACTGACAAATTGGGAAGGCAAGTTAAAATATTTATTTTCAATTAGAAATATTATATTACAGCAGCATTGGCCATAGTATATTTTAAAGCTCATTCATTTGCCTTTGAAGCTTGTCTGTGGTGCTTCCTTGGGTACCTCAGGATAGTGAGGCACCTAACTACAACTTGGTTAGTTTGAGGACGCTTTGTTTTGTGCCTGCTGTGGGTCAGCTCCATAAGTCATGGACAACACAAGTACTCCCCTCTCAGCTTAGGCTGGCTCCACTGTCTTCTCTGCAGGTTAGTAATAGGCATGGTACAAACTCCATCCTTGAGTGTGTTCCTGGAGTGCCACTGTTCCATTGGAAACTCTCAGCATTATTCAGTCCTCTTAGAGAAGGAGTACGCTGCAGCTTCCAATTTGTACTTCAGATCGCTGCGCTGTTTAACTCTCAGGACTTAGGGTTTTAGCAAGAACAATCAAAAGTTTACTTAACAATTGAAAGATTCAAGTGATAGCGAGTAGAAGTATTGGAAACAAATGGTTACCTATAAAATCCTAATGTATTATATTTAGAACTTCAGCTTAAATTATTTAATCTAGAATGAAGACTGACTTAATGCCTTTCTAAAGGCAATCCCAAAACCTTTCACTATTTTGCAGCCAAGCCTGGTGGTGATCCTTTTTTCATGAAGTAAGTCACACTATCACCTTGTCTCCTTGCCACCACTAGCTAACCTGTCTGTGGCCAAGAGAAGCGGGGGTGGTGGAAGTGCTAAAGCTAGGCTGCTGCTGCAAGGGCAGGATGTCTCCTGGAGAGGAGGAGGAGAGGCATCATGCATCCTCCAGCATCAAGGCAGCAGCCCCTTTGCATGCAGCCTGCCTTGGGTGCCACACATCCTAGCACTTCTATCCCTAACTGCAGCCTTGCAAACCTGCCTGCACCTGCATGCAGAATGGTGGTGCTGGGAGCCTGTGAAGATGCAGTCAAAGTCAGTAAGTGGCAAGCCTCTTGCCAATATCAAGACCAGTTTCAGTCAGTGAGATGGTTTTAGGTTCAGGCAAAATGTTGAACAGGAAATAGTTGACGGTGGTTGTGAGATTAGATGCTGCTATAGAGGTTGAACCTCTCTAGTCTGGCATGCTCAGGAGCTGCCTGGTGCCGAATCACAGGAGGTCGGAGTTGGTTAGTAGTATTACCAATGCTTCCTCTTCTTACTGGGCTCTTCGTAGAAATTTAGGGGTAAACTAGAGCTAAATAACAGCACAGAGCCAGGACTGGTGCTATAAATAAATGTTATGGGACCATGTGTAACTTGGCCACAGCCATAAGTGGACATTCAGCTAACTGAAATCATGCCAGACCACAGATGTTGCTGGACAAGAGAGGTTCAACCTGTATACTGAGAGAATGTATTAAAACATTCATGTTGGTTTGGTTTGGTTTGCTTAATAGAAATTACCATGTTTCTTGCAGGCTTACAGCAGTATTTTGTATTTGAAGCCAAGAATGCAAATCATTATCAGAGGACAAAAAGTAAAAACACAGCTGATTTCCAAAAGTCTTGCATACATTGAACGCGATATTTATAGACCAAAATTTTTGGCGGTATCCTTTACTGATATGTACATCATTACATGTGAAATGTGAAGACGTAATGTAATTAGGATGTCAATTCTGTGACAGTGTTTCGTTGCAAATAGTCATGCTAAAATCAATACTACATCTGGAGGCTGATGGAATTATTCCAAAATGAATAATTTGCCCAGTTTTGAATGAACATTTCAGTGTGAAGAAGCTTTTGCGTGATCAAATTATCCTTAACATCTTAAAACAAGGCTAAAACTGTAAGAATCACCTTTGGGTTTAACTGCAGAAACAAAGACCATTATGGAATAATGATGTATCACAGAAACAGACTCATCAAAGCTTATGAAAGGGTTGGCTGTCAATTAAAGGTAAGAATTTAACCTTGAAAATATATTAGTATGTGTATTAGGTAAACTGTTTTGAAGTAAACTAGTTTCTAACTTGTTTTATGGATAGATTATATTTTAATGCGGATTTTATTAAATCCTTTTTCTGTAATGTCAGTGCATCAGTTTAATACAGAAAGTTTTACTAAGCAGTTAATGATAAATGTTTGATGTAGTGCTAAACTTGATTTACAGGGTTTAGGCATGAATGTGTCCTTTAGAAAAAAGGGACTGGAGAACCATAGAAATGTAGGGCTGGAAGGGACCTGTAAGGAGTCAGTCCAGCTGCTGATACTGAGTCAAGCCAAAGTTAGAGATGGGCAAGTTATCCAATCTGTTGTTAAATCTTGAGTAATGGGGATTCACAACCTTGCCTGTACAAGAGGTTTAACTACCTTTGTAGACAATATTTTTGTAATTAACCTCCAATTCCCTGGCTTTAGTTCAAGCCCACTACATCTTGTCCTGCCTTCAGTGGATGTAATACTTGATGACTGATCTTTATAATAGCCTTTAACATACCCAGAGACATCTCAGGTCTTCCCCTCTATCTTCTTAAGAAACGTGGTTGTTGTTGTTTTTAAACCTTTCCCTTACAGATCATATTTTCTAAATCTTTAATATATTTTTGGTTTCTCTTTCCAATTTGTCCATCTTCTGTAAAATGTAACATCTAGAATTATACTACTCCATGTGAGGTTTCCCCAGTGCCAAGTAGAGGGGTATTTATAGCACTGCTGTTATATCCAACAGTATAATTAATTTGGTGTGTCAGCCTTTCTAATTTTGTCCCTATATGCTTATGGTATTCTTTTGTACTTAAAGCTTCCATTTTTTGTAGGATTCTTTTTTGATTTTTTTCAGGTGATTATAGAGCTGTTTGATGCTTACTATCGTGCCCATTTTCCTCTCACATCAGGATCGCTTCAAGCTGTGCCTTCTAATGTTGTATCTTTGAGCATTACCAGTACTTTTTTCGCCCTTAGATTTTCTTGCTGGGGCATCTTATCTACCAGTACTCAAAGTATGTTAAAATCTTTTTTTTTTTTTTTTTTTTTTTGGGAAGTCTTTTTGTCAGTATAGAATCATGGAAGTATAGTGCTGGAAGGCTCCTTAAAGTCTTCACGTCAGCCCAGTGGGCTGTGGCAGGACCATATAAACCTGACAGGTGTTTGTCCAACTTTTTTCCAAAAGCTTTCAATGATCATAGAATTATAGAACTGGAAGGAACCTTGAGAGATCATCTAGTCAAGATCCCTGCATTCATAGCAGGATTTAATATTATCTGAACCACTCTGTCAGGTGTTTGTCTAACCTACTCTTAATCTCCAGTGATGGAGATTACCTACCTCTCTAGATAATTTTATTCCACCCTGACAGTGTTTTCTTAATGTCCAACCTAAACCTCCCTTACTTGTCATGAGTACAGGAAGCCAACAAGAGCATTTGCTCATGTTGGCCTCCCACTGTGAAGATAGCGCCAAGCTCGACTTAAGGTAAGCGGACTCCAGCTACATGTTTTAGTGTAGACCTGGCCTCACACACCCTACTCCAGTTAGGGCTTCATGGGTACCAAGTAAAGGGATATTTACCTCCCGTGTTTTGCGTGCAACAATCTTGTTAACACACCAGAACAGAGTTGCCAACCCACAGAAATTTCATGTATGGACAAATGGGAAAAATTTACGGACAGACAAATTTTTTTACTGACATAATTTTTATGCTATATTAAGACAACATAAATGGCCAAAAGTGAAAAGTAATTGTTGTCATTCATACATCACAAGAACAATGTTATTTAACTCACTGTAATTTAGTTAGTGGATCACCTGTTTCACGTTACGTCCTCTCAACCATTGAGCTAAATAAACAACTAAAACATCCAATTTCCGCTGCTCTGCAGTAAAATGGATGAAGCAGCACAGAGAAATTTAATTGCTATTTTTTTGAAATTTTATTGCACTTTTATGAAATTTATGGACACCTAAATTTTTTTACGGACATGTCCAATTTCAGATAATTTTTTACAGAATGTCAGTAAATTTACTGTTGGTTAGCAACCCTGCCTTAGAATCATATTAACCTTTTCTGCAGCTGCGTTGCATTGCCAGCTCACTAAGTGTGTGGTGCACTGTAACCATGATCTTTTTTTAGCAGAACTACTACCTAGACATTTTGTAGTTGTGATTTTGTAGACATCTTCTCCATTTTGTAGTTGTGATTTTGTGTTTTTCTAGGTGCAGTACATTGCATTTATCTAAGTTGAAGTTCATATAGTTGAATTCAGATCAATTCTCCAATTTTTTAAACCCATTTTGAATTTTAAAATTGAAGTGCTTAAAACCCTTCCCAGCTAGATCTCAGCCATAGATTTTTTTTTTTTTGTGAGCGTACTCTGTATTATCCAAGTTAAATTTTAATAAAGAAAAATAATACCTAATCCAGGACTGACACCTTTGGGTTCCCACTAGAGAAATCCTCCTCATTTGGCAGCAAATTAATAACTTTTGGGTGCAATCTTTCAACAAGTTTTGAATCTACCTTACAGTAACTTCATTTAGTCCATATTTCACTTCTTTTCCACATATTTTCATAAGGACTGTCAAAAGCTTCACTGAAATCAAGGTATATCATGCCTCTTGTGTCTTACTATCCACTAATTCAGTAATCCTATAGAAGGAAACTAATTTGGGTTAGCATGATTTATTCTTTATTAAATCCAAGCAAACTGTTCCTTATAACATTAATCTCCTTCATATGCTTACAAATTGTTTAATAATTTTCTCCATTGTCTTTATAGATACTGAAGTTATGCTAACAGGTCTATAATGTCTCATCCTCTTTGGTTTCTCCTTATTTAAAAATGGGCATTACTTTTGTCCTTGATTCTTCTGGTATCTCTGGTCCTACAGGAGCTCTCAAAGATAATAGTTCAGATGTGGCTTTAGCTGGCTTCTTAAGCACTCTTGCATGAATTTAACAGGCCCTTTTAACTTTAAATACATCTAGCTTATCTAAATATTCATTAACCTGTTCTCTTCCTATTTTGGCTTTCATTACTTCCCCCTGGATGCCAGTATTAGCATGGCCAGCAGGTTTGTATAACTTTTTGGTGGTGCCCCATTAGCCACACACCCCCCTCCTGTTAGCCACGCCTCTGGAGGTAACTTGCTTGGGGCAAGATGGACACGTGACCAGAAGTAAATGGTCTCATGTCACCCCTCTCAAAGGGCTTTTCCCACCACCCTCCTACCAACCGGGATTAGTTTAGCCCCCACCAAACGCTCCTCATGCAACTATCCTGCAGTTACATTCAGTTCTTGTTTTGCTGCTTCCTCTATTATTTTCTGTTGTGAGGCTTTTACCTCTTCCAGCCTTTGGTTTGTGTTTTCAGGACTTGTAACTGACTTGCTCATCCCAGATACCTGGTATAACCTGAGGCACCCTGATTTCCATAATTTTCTTAGGTACAAAATTATCTGAGAATTTCACTCTCTGGCTACGTCTAGACTGGCATGATTTTCTGCAAATGCTTTTAACAGAAAAGTTTTCCGTTAAAAGCATTTGCGTAAAAGAGTGTCTAGATTGGCACAGATGCTTTTCCACAAAAGCACTTGTTGCGGAAAAGCGTCTGTGCCAATCTAGACGCTCTGTTCCGAAAATGCTTTAACGGAAAACTTTTCCGTTAAAAACATTTCCAGAAAATCATGCCAATCTAGACGCAGCCAATGTGTGTGACAATAACTCAGGGGAGAGAGGCTGGGGGAAGTGTTCCCTCTAAGACTACGTCTACACCTGTGGCTTCTTGTGCAAGTACAGCCATTCTTGCGCAGGAACCCACAGAGCATCCACACTGCCTGCCTGCTCTTGCGCAAGGAAACTTACAGTAAGGCATGAAACTTACTTACAGTAAGTTTCTAACAGGTGTAAGCTCTCTTGCGCAAGAGGGCAGTGTGGATTTCTTGCTCAATAAACCTCTCTGGCTAAAATGGCCATCAGAGCTTTGTTGGGCAAGAGTGTCATAGATGCTCTTGTGCAAAAGCACAGCTCGCATGTGGCAGTATGGACGTGTTCTTGTGCAAGACTTCTTGCGCAAGAAGCCGCCAGGGTAGACACAGCCAATGAGTCTTATCACACAGCTCAGAGCTCAAGTTACTGATACTTAGTCTGATGTGAGAGATTCCTACTTTGCACCAGAAGTGAGGCTCCCTCCCCACTAACAGCTGAAATCACTGAGGGCTGTGTCAAGTAGTGGGACCTGAAGATATCTTGGCCGGTTGCTAGAGCTCTGCCAAGTGCCAGAGAGGTGTGGTGAGTTGCTGCAATCGGAAGGGAGCAGAACACTGCCAGAGAGGCATGGTGATTGGCCAGAGATGGTTGCGAGTCATTGCCATTGGCCAGGAGTATGGGTGGCAAAGAAGAGCCATGAGCAACTGCCTGGGCCGTGGAGCAAGTAAGGGGCTTTCCCTCCCCCCTTACCCGGGGTGGAAGGTAAACTCTGCAGATGCAGCTCTGACCTGCTCCCCTCCACCAGCCCTTCTCTCCTCCCCCTCCCCCGTGCCCACTCCTCCAGTAGACCCACTCTGATCATGTGAGCTACCCCTCCTCATCCCCTCTTCTACCACCTCCCTCTACAAACCTGCCCTGCCTCTCTCCTCTGGTGGTGGTCCCTCCCCTGCAGGTGTCTCCCCTTCTGCTTCACCCCCAGAATCCCCTGAAACCTGCACCTTCCCTTACTCCTGCACCCTCCTGGTGCCTCCCTCGTCCCCCTTTGCCCTCTTTTTCCCCGATGCCCACCCCTTCACCATCCTCTACCCCCACTTCCCTCATGCCTCTGTGCTGTCACACATGACTTGCTCCATCCCGGCCTTCCTCATGCCCACCCCTTCTTTCAAGCCTTCTCCCAGCACCACCACCTCCTCCAGCCCCCAACGCCCTTACCCTTTCCCCTCCCAGCATCACCCTGTCCCCCTTCCACTGAC